GTAGGGAATTTAGTTTCATGCTCAGAAAGCAGTTTCTGAGTCCTCATTTTTAAAAAACGTATTTGTTTATTAAATTTTTATGCCACCTCTCCACCCAAATAGGGCCCCCAATATCAGATTTTTCCACTCCCAGACATAAAACACTCCCAGAAAGGGTCTTCATATAATATTTGGAGACCATCTTCCTAATACAACAAAGAGAGATTCCTTTGTGATTTGGAGTATGATTTGCGAGGTATTCTAATTCCCAATACAGCTGAAACCATTTGACAGACAACAACTCCCATAAGACCATAAGAGAAGCCAATGTTGGATCAGGCCAATGGCCCATCCAGTCCAACACTCCGTGTCACACAGTGGCCAAAAAAACCAGGTGCCATCAGGAGGTCCACCAGCAGGGCCAGAACTCCAGAGGCCCCCAAGCACCAAGAATACAATCACTGCCGCAGACAGAGTGCTCCATCCATATCTTGTGGCTAATAGCCACTGATTGACCTCTGCTCCATATGTTTATCCCCTCTTGAAGCTGTCTATGCTTGTGGCCACCACTTCCTGCAGCAGTGAATTTCATGTGTTAATTTTATCGGTAGAGGTTAATAGCTGTTAAGGTCTAAATGTTCTATTTTTGAGAAACTGCCACATTCTGAATGATGGGGAGGTTAACAACCTAATTGGGCATGTCCTTCCTCAATATGGGGGGGACTCAACTTTCAAGGACAAGCTCCACTCACATAAGTTCTGAAGAGATCTTACAAGCCCTCCCCTCATAGAACCGCTGAGGGAGGAATTCCCACCTCAAGAATTTGGTTGAACTGAGCCTTCAGCTCAAAGTAGGGCTTGCTCTTCACAATGACACGCTTCAGGGACTTCTGTAGAGACTGCACCCTGGCCTCCGCTTGCTGGCAGAGCTGGGTGACCCGCTGGTGCTCCCGTTCACTGCGCAGACGCTCCTCCTCCGCCTCATTCACCTAGCAGGGAAGGACAGGAATAGGTCAGAGCCAAGAGCCAACCCTGGTCACAATCCGTCAGATCTCCTACGGCCCTTCCCTGCTTAACCTCAACAAGGCAGTGATACTGAGCTTTCTCATCTCTAATTTAGTTTTTACTCAAATTCTTCAAAAGACAATAAGATTATTTAGTAAATCCTTGGAATCTAACAGGAACTGAACTGTGGTTTGGTCCTCCCCCCCTCCTAGTCGATGTTGAACATTTTATAATTAATTTATTTAAAACATTTATACATTGCCTTTCCACCCAAATAGGGTCCCCTATTTCTGAACATAAGAACAGCCATGCTGGGTCTGACCCAAGGCCCATCTAGTCCAGTATTCTGTTCCCAGAGAGGCCAATCAGCTGCCTCTTGAAAGCCCACAAACAGGAAGACAGCATCATCCTGCCTGTGCGCCCCATCAACTGATTTAAAGAGGCATACTGCCTCTGGTACTGGAGATAGTAGCTATCCATCATGATTAGTAGCCATTGATAGCCCAGTCCTCCATGAATTTGTCCACTCCCCTTTTAAAGCCCTCCAACTTGGCAGCCATGACCACATCCTGTGGCAGCAGGTTCCACACATTTTGTCTGTCCTGAATCTCCCACCCTTCAGCTTCAGCGGATGACCACGGGTTCTAGTATTACGGGAAATTATGGGTATTTGTAACATATCATCGTAAGCCACCTTGAGTGTCCTTCTCCACAGCAGCAAAGTGGAACCTAAATTGCTCAAACAAAATAGGTGGGCACCGACCTTTCAGAGACTGACAGCATGACTGCTATGGTGGTGCTTCGCTAGCTCACTCCTGGCCTCGTTATGCCAGGGAGTCTCATTTATCCAATCCTGTTGCTGCTAACAGTGACTGCCAGCATGCCAGGCTACCATTTAAAACACACACACACACAAACCATGCCAGTATTAATGCCTCTGAACCTGATAGACAGTTCTGGGGTATCGACAGTCATCAGGAACAGCAGTGAAACAGAAAGACAGGAAGGGAAGCAACCAGGCTCCAGAGGCATGTGAGGAGGTCTCTGGACTTGTGAAGTATTGAATAGATGGTGCAAACAGAGGGCCCTTTGTTCTTCAAACACACAACCAACCTAACCTATTGCTTCCTTTTCATACCTGATTCTGCTCTTGCTCATCTTGGCCGGTGAAGGAAGGAGGATGAAAGATGCAGACTTTGTTGAAGTGCAAGGGAGCTCACGGCTGGCTGGAGAGGTGTCTGGAAATGGCCAAATGCCAGCCCTGTTTGGTGAACTTTACCGGATACCCGCTTAGGTTGTTTATGGTGACTGCAGAACGTGGGGGATTTAGGCAACCACTGTGGGATCTGGACGGACCCACCCAACCCTTCCAGTTAACCTGTTGCCTGATTCCCAGGGCTGCAAACTGCCCTGGCCTTGTGCTACCCTCTCCTGTTCCCTACAACTCCAAATGGACTCCCTCCTCCCAAAGGCAGAGACTCCCCTGGGACTACACTGATCCTTCCATCCCTCTGGGACGTGGAATTGTACTGCCTGTAGCCCCTCCCCCCCGCCGACAGGGCTTTCACCTTGCACGTGGCATGGTTGAGCATCTCCTGCCAGGTGGGGTCGAGCCGGTTCTTGTCCGCCATCACGCCCTGCTCGGCCACAAAAACCATCTCCCGGGCCGCGTTGTGCATGCTGACCGCCCGCTCGTATCGAAGCGCAGCCTTCTGGGTCTCCTGCTGAGCCTGCCGGGACCGAAGAAGGAATAACTCAACGGAACGGATGACACTGAAATCCCCTGAGTGTGGCTGGGAGAAAGCATGAGCAAGCTCTAGGTCCCCAAACAAGTCTAAGAGCTGAATGAGACAATCAAGAGACTCCAACTGCATGGCTTGCTGGGCTGCACCATTCCAGGCGATGGGTGGGGAGGATCGCTTGTTTGGCTCATCGCCTTTCTTATAAGAAAGAACTCCCTGTTCATGCTGAGCTCTCGGTGGTGGTGGGGAGACAGTCTTAGAAGCCCTTCTCCCTGAGGGGCAGAAATCAGTCGCCTGCTGCAGCCCCTTGCTGCAATGAACCCATTCCCCACATGTGCACTGATATAAGCTGGCCATTTAACGTTCCCTATTGCTCTGATGAGGCAGCTTGGTGTGATTTCTTTTGAGGGGGGGTTGTGTATTTTTCATATATGTGTGTGTATGTGAGTGTGTGTGTACCTGGAAGTCATGGCGACCTCTGGTGACTGACCCCTACTGGGGGCCTGGAGGATATTCAGAGAGGTGGCTGAATGAAAGCCTGCCCCCTGGGCCCTCCCGACATTCCAGGGAGGTCTCCCATCCAAGCACTTGCCAGAGTCGACCCTGCCTAGCTTCCGAGATCTGACGAGATCAGGCTTGCCTGGGCTATCCAGGTCAGGTGAGAGTGTGTTTTCTTGATCGCTCACATGCAAAGGAAATGGGAGGCAAGAATGCACGGGAAGGGCCTGTCCTCCTCTCCCACCAAACTTTCCATCCCACTCAGTCCATAAAACAGGGTAACAGTCAGATGATGGATATGCCTTATGGATTAAATATGGGAAGCCAAGAAGCAGTGAGAGGTTTAGGAAGAGGGTATCCCTGAAGCCAGAGAACATTCTGACAGAGAGTGTGTGTGAGAGAGAGAGAGTGAGTGTGTGAGAGTGTGTGTGAGAGAGTGTGTGAGAGAAAGAGGGTTCTTCTAGAGACAGGGCCTGTGATCACTGCAGAGGGCAGCCTCATATCTTGTCATCTCTAGCTGATAGATAAAATTACAGTTTTCATAAATCTGGTTTGGCGATCTCTGAGCAATTATCTGGCTGGGCTGCTTGAGAAATCTGCAAAACTATGTGCAACCAGCTTTAGGCATTTCTTCAGATCAGGAATCCTAGCTCAACAATACCCTCCCCTCCCTCTTCCATTATCTATGAGGGATCGAGAAAGTATGCTGGGGGTAGAGTTCTATGAGAAGGAGTGTGACCTTTTTAATGATCGAACATGGCAAAGGGGGTTGGGGCTGAAAATACCCAAATTCCTTGTTCATGCAGCAAATAAAGACTTTGTTCAGGGACAACCACTTGTGAGACATAAAATGAGCCCAGAGGAATCCTGAATCTTCATGCTGAGCATTCAAACTTCCTTCACTTTGCTCTGTGTATTTCAGAGGGGAGGTTGGGCACAGCAGCACCTAAGCCACAGGTGTTTGTTCCAAAACAGGTAGGGATGGTGACGTATCTCACAGTGGAACTGCGTAAAGGCAATGACACCCATACCTCCTTGGCCAAGCGTCTGGCCTCGTAGTAAGGACGTGCTTTCTCAATGCAGTTCCCCAGCTGGGAGCCCTGAGCGTTGAGCTTCCTGGCAGATTCCGATAAAATCCTCCGATACGTTGTACGGGCTTCCTGTCACAACCAACAATATAAACACAATATGCTGACAAAGGCTTTCACGGCCAGAGTTCACTAGTTGCTGTAGATTTTCCGGGTTGTGTGGCCTTGATCAACCTTGACACAGAGAGTACGCCATCTTTCTGTGTTATACCTCTGAGGATGCCAGTCACAGTTACTGGTGAAACGTCAGGTTCTACAATGCCAAGACCACGGCCACACAATCCAGAAAACGTATAACTACTAATATAAACACACCTTATTTGAATTCCTGCTTCTAGACAGATTTTTATACACCTTGCATTGGGTGGCCCGGCTACCTCCCGAAACCCCATTTCTGCAGATGGTGCCAACATTTCACCCATAATGCATAAAAGCACTAATCACATCACTGCTTTGTACCATTGCATCAGTGGAGCGGCACCACTAATGTAAGCAGTAGCCTTGCATTCCTAGTGGCTCATGTGATCTGTGCCTTTGCATGTCACCCATGCGGCCCTGAAGCCAATCACAAGGAAGTAGTTTTGGAGTCACAAACATGTCACAGTGGTAACAAACGATCTGGCAACTAGAATCTACATACTGCAACACCAATCTTAACCAACTGCCAATCACACTGTACCCTACTGCACGCAGTGCCCCCCACAGTGAATAAAAATCCCTACAGTTGCCAGAAGGCTAGCAGTTCCATCTCCAGCTACACATGTGCATATGAAATGGCCTTCCATTGGGCCCCAACAAGCTTACGTAAAGCCCTACTTATTCCTTATGACAGGTTATCGTTAATTGCGTTGCATTCTCGTGTGTGTGTGTGTGTGGTGCCATCAAGTTACAGCCAACTTATGGAGACCACGTGGGGGTTTTGAGGCTAGAGACAAACAGAGGTGCTTCGCCATTGCCTGCCTCTGCATAGCGACCCTAGACTTCCTTGATGGTCTCCCATCCAAGCACTAACCAGGGCTGACCCTGCTTAGCTTCCGAGATCTGACAAGATAGGACTAGCCTGGGCCATTTAGGTCAGGGTCCATCTGTATAGTCGATAAAATGCCCCAGTAGTCCTCTAAAAACTACCAGCTTGGTATGAACACCAACACTGTATCATCCTGACTGTCAGAACATGTGGTTGACATCAGTCAGTATGCAGAAGTGTGGTCAGGGATCCTTGCAAAGTCCCCTGAAGGAGATGAGCTACAAAAGAGAACAAGGGAAGTGATCAGCTCTTTCTCCTTCAGTGATCAAACCTGGAGCAGGTCCCCAGAGAGGGGTGATGGTGGAATGAGTACAAGGCTCTCCAGATGAGTGGGTAACATCATTTTGTGCAGGACCAGTGCCAGCCACATTCTTATGGCCCCTCCCACAAAGCAGGCAAAAGAGTAAAGCTAGACCTGGGAAGGATGTCCCTGCTGCAGTTGGCTTATTCGATCTGAAGGCGGCCAAGGAAACGGCACCTGGGGGAAGCCCACAGCTGTATGACAGAGCACTTGCTTTGCCTACAAAAATGCCCACTGTTCCATCTCCTGTCAAACGTGTGCATATGAAATGGCCTAATATTGAGCCAGACCCTTGGTCTAACAGGGCCAGGTCTGTCTACTTGAACTAGCAGCTCCCCAGGGTCACAGACTGCAGCCTTTCACTATCAGATCCTTTTAACTGGAGACGCTGGGAACCAAACCCAGGGCTAACCATGCAAAGCAGGTGTTAAGAACATAAGAACATAAGAGACGCCAATGTTGGATCAGGCCAAAGGCCCATCCAGTCCAACACTCTGTGTCACACAGTGGCCAGAAATACTAGTGCCATCAGGAGGTCCAGCAGTGGGGCCAGGACATTAGAAGCCCTCCCACTGTTGACCCCCCCCCCCAGGCACCAAGAAGACAGAGCATCACTTGCCCCAGAGCCCCTAGCTATACCTTGTGGCTAATAGCCACTGATGGACCTCTGCTCCATATGCTTATCTAATTCCCTTTTGAAGCCGTCCATGCTTGTAGCACCCACCACTTCCTGTGGCAGTGTTAGCCACAGTTAGCCACGGACCTCCCCCATTAAAACAGTTAGCCAGTTAGCCACGGACCTCCCCCATTAAAACAAACAGACAAACAAAAAGCTAAACATTGCAGATAGTTGTGCTGAGAAAAGTCTTCGCCTGGGACCTTGGAGAGCTCCTGCTCCTCAGAGCAGACTCAAGGGACTGTCAAGGCACAGCCTTGCACATGTGCATCTTCACACAGGACAACTGGGGGTGGGGGGGTGGATGGTAAAATATATTGGTAAGAGGAGGGCAAGTCCCAAGTGTTGAAGAACACCACCTTTACTTACATCCAGTTGTAGCTCCACGCGATTTATTTCCTCGTTGGCCTGGTTGAGATGCTCCAGTTCCTCCTTTGGTTAAAAACAAGGAGTGAGGCTCAAGGGCAGGCAGCAAACCACGTACGTCTCCTTACAGAAGTATGCGTTTATATGCTCAGAACCCACAGCCCTTCCCCCAACAGATGCCTCAACAGCGGTGCGGGTATTTTCACCAGAAAAAGAAAATCTCCGTTTCTCATTCAGAAGCAATGGAAAGTTGCATAAAGTTGGGGATATTTTATTCTGCTTAATGGAATAAACGCTTTCCAAAAAATCACGTTTACGTATTTAAGCAACGACAAGGGATCTAGGAGAAAGGATGGATGGAAAGTTATGGCAGAGATACAGGGCAGCCTTCCACAGTCCTAAATGCAGATGGCAGAAAGCCACAGGCCTCTAAATTTACCTATCCAGAAAAAGGGAGGAAAGAACAGACCGAATCTTTCACCACCAGAAGACAATACCAGACAACACCAGATTGAAACAACTTTTCCAGATTCCCCCCCCCCCATAAGTGTTCCAATATTTTGGCTATAAACTTGTTGTGGTTTGGGGGGAAGGAACTGGGGTGTATGGAATCCAGACTCCTCTTGGTATTTATTATTACCCAGCAAAACAGTCATTGTTATGACGGGTCACAGAAGAAGCGCCCCGAGGAGGATGCAACATGCCTCTGCAAAGAACCCATGGCCAGGCCACCACTACGCCAGGACAAAATGTTTTTAACATTAAGAGGCTTTAAATCACTAATGGAAAACAATATTTCCTTTAAAACGAAGTACCCATTTTGCGCCTTTGGATATTGCCAAAAGCAAATAGCATACTAATTAGCCTATCAAGTCTTCCAACATGTTAATTTGCAAAGAGCACAGGACAGTTGATCATATCCTGTCTGGCTTTTGTCATTGCACTAAACCCAGAACACTCCTTGCCTTCTTAAGGGCTGGAAACATTTCTTTTAAAAACACATAACCACCCATAATATTACCATTATCCCAAATTCTACACCTGAATATGCAGGATGTGACCAAGGACACACAGCCCTGGCATGAGGTTAATCATTCCCATTGTGTCCAATTAGGGCTTGCACAACCTTCAAATCCCACCAATGCCGCTTCTTGAGTACTCTCTGTCATGGAACATCCTCACTACTAATCTTAGGACACTTGACTACCAAGATTCATCTCTCCCTCTCTCTTCCCTGCCAGACACCAAAAGTCTTTCCCCCCCCCATATATGTGTTTGTGTGTCCGTGTGTCTGCACCTGGAAGTCATGCCGACCTCTGGTGACTGACCCCCACTGGGAGCCTGGAGGTTATTCAGAGAGGTGGCTGAATAAAGCCTGCCCCTGTCCTCACGACTGCTGGTATTCCAAGGAGGTCTCCCATCCAAGTACTTGCCAGAGTTGACCCTGCTTAGCTTCCGAGATCTGACGAGATCGGGCTTGCCTGGGCTATCCAGGTCAGGGCCCAACACCAAGTCTTGAGTTATTGTCTTGAAGTAACGGTGATCATCCCCAAACAGAAATTTTTAACAGTCTCATAAAATAGAAAATGTATTTCTAGGGTTGCCATATTTTGACTTCATCAATTTGGGCAACCGAGTTCAGGGAGGGACAGGTCAGGGGCAGAATCCAGCGACAGCAGAGCTAATTGCAACAGTTCTATGTTTGCTGGCGCTGGCAGAGAAAAGGGGAAAAATTGCCGTGCAAAAGCGATTCATGTGTTGCGGGCGCTATTTGACCTAATGGTTTGTACACCAGCCTGTCATCTGAATCACTATTGCTTACGCTACATTTCGAAGCAGGGTTTATTGTTCTAGCCTGCTTACCGTGGCTGTGAAATTTCTTCCCCTGCTTTGCCAGTGATCATGAGCAAATAAGTAATCAACTGTCCAAGATCACAATTTTTGTTCCAATGAGGGGTGGGGTGCGTGAAGGAGTCATACAGTGGGTATGAGAGCAGCCCGCCCACTGCTGCCCATGTCAAGTTGGCACACCCCTGTGCTGCCCACCTGCCTCAGCTCAAAAGAGCCCATGGGCACAGCCCTGCAGGAGGCACCTATGAACCTTCTGCCACCCCATCCCCCATGTACCAGTGCCTGAAATGCTAAGCGGGGCCTTAGCTCAATAGCCTGGCTCCTGAATGCATGCATATGAGTCATACAGCCCAAACCTGTGCATTAAGGAAAAACAGAGGCCGCTAGCTTTTAAGTGAAGTCATTTCTGCCTGCCAGCCAGCCCCCAATCTGGGCTTTTAGAGAAGTCCTGGCATCTGGCCCAGAGTTAGAGGCATCAATAAATAACTCAGCAGGCCTGTTTGCTTCCTGGTTGGCTGACAACCCTGAGGGCTTCCCTAGGAGGAAGGGTGCAGACCAAAAGTAGTCCAACCAGTTCCCTTCGGATGTGCCCTTAGAATGAACCACATTCCATGCTTTCACAGTGCAGCTGTAGAAATACTGAATAGTCCCTTGGCTCCCGAAAGAAGAGTCTCGGTCTGCCTCACCTGGATTCGGGGGTCCAGCTCTTCCTCCTCCTCCTCTTCTGTCCTCTGCAGGGTCTTGGCGTCCCCACCCCCATCACAGATGGCTTCAGGCACAGGTGTTCTTTGTTCCTGCCCCTCTTCGGTGGGAGTCCGCAGCTCCCCAGGAGGTGTCTGCCGTCCATCACCCATGTTCATGCCCAGCACCAGCCGCTGGTCAGATCCCTCCATGCCGGGCTCCCACTGCCCCTCTGCAGTCTCCGGTCTTCCTGCCTGGGGGGGTTGGCCTCGTCACAGGAACACGGGCACCATTCTAACGCCAGGACCACCCGCAGAGATTTGGCACGAGGCTGCTAGGCTCACGGGGATTCATTTGGCACATGCGGCAAGGAAAAGTAGGCGGGAAACAAGCAAGTCTTACGGTGCCAGTCTGGAAAGTGATGGGCCACCTCCAGCTCCCGTGTGTTATCCAGACTGGAAGCAAGCGAGTCAGATTAGCTTTGTAAAATGGATCCCCCCCGGGGATACTGCAGTTAAAGGAGGCACAAACAGCAGATGCTTACTCACAGAGGGGGTGGAGAAAATCCCCCCACAAGGCGTGTCCTCCACCCCCCCTCCCCTGCCCGCCCCTAAGACACCTCCTCCAAGGTGGCAGCCAGCAGCAGAGACTGGAGAACGGAAGGAGCACAGCAGAGACAAGGCTGGAAAAGAAACCAGGAGATGCGTTACAGGCATAACTCTTTGAAAGGCAACAAAAGAGCTGCTATCCCACCATCACAAATCAAGGTTGCATTAACACGTGAGTGAGGCTTGCATCTGCTGTGAGACACCTTTGTCAGTAAATGTCATGGCTAATCTGGAAAAGCCCCAGGTCCCTGGGTGGGGCGGCGGTCCAGAATGTGATATAGCGAGGCAGGAATTTTATATACAAAGTGCCACTGCAGTTTATAAAAACTGATCCTGACATACAGGAATATGAAAACTGTTATTAGATCCAGTTCTAACTACTTGTTCACCCCAGTATTTATATGTATGTGTGTGGGGGAAATTCTTCAGCAACAAACAGTTTCAGTTTCTTCCCCTCTTTACTGGGAGTCTGCAGCTCCCCAGGAAATCTGTCAATTAGTTCTTACAGCTAGAAGGGATTTGAACTCTAATCTGCACCTTAAGTTTCCCTCTGCCCCCATCTACAGCTAGAAAACAGGCTATTTGAGAGAGCAGCTTGCATGCTAGTACATTTCCTTTTTATTTATTTTTTATTTAACTTTCAGTTTATATACTGCACGAACCCCAAAGGGTCTCTGAGTGGTTTACATACAATTTTTAGGAAAACTGCACAGCTGTACATCACAAACAAGGTCTACTGCACTACAGATCCCACATGCAAGCAATGCAAAAGCGCGTCAGCCCATTAAAACATCATCTCACAGGTGCTCCGCAGATTTATTTTTGTTTTTAAAATTATACTCTGATTTTGTGTGTGACAGCTTATAAGCAGCTACTTAAACATTTGTCACACTGTCCTGCTGATTCCTTCCACCAGCACCATCAGCCCAAGATTTTGGGGTGCAAGATACGGAACATTCAGATTTCCAGGTTCCCAGATGCCGACAATCAATTTCTATGTTTCTGGCTACTGAAGAAGGTATCCAGCTTGGCCAGCTTCTCGACTGCTCCTTGTAAACAGAACCGTGTATGCCAGTTTCAGGTCATGGTCACATCACTCTCTCACCTCCTCCTCCCCACCACTAAACTAATCAACATAATTTCCAAAAACCACCATCATGCCCATGCTGTGAACTCCTACAGGCATTGCTAAACCACAATTGTATAAACTTCAGAACTGAGCACTGAGGGCATGTATCCAACCACACAATTTCAAAGACTTAATGGCCCTTAAGCCTTGTGAAGAGGGAGAGCACTGCAGACACCCATTTTGCTCTTGATGTGGTTCCTGTTGAGAGGAGGCAGGAGAGTGCAGGGATGTTTGTGGGTGAAAAGACTTGACATATCCTTCCTACATCCTGCTTGCAGCCACCCACTAGACTTGAACTGACCCTTCCTTTTCTTAATTTCTACAGAGCTTTTAGGGGAGCTTCCACGCTTGGCATTCACCCATCGCCGCAACTATCTTATCACATTCCAAAGGGAGGTAGTCTGTTAGAGGACTGTGGTCCCGTAAAGAGCAACAACGTTTCTTGTTGCAGCCGACACTCTGGGTGGATCGGGACCCACTTTTTCAGAGCCAGTGAATGCACCCCTCTGCGAGCAGCCCACTGAGAACGGGAGGCTTCCACCGTGCGAATGCCTCCAAGCCATCCATCGCGCTTCCGTGGCAGTGAGGATCTGAACCCGAGTCTCCTGCGACAAGCCACCCTCACTCCTACCGCGACCTGCACCCTTTCCCCCGCTACTCCGCACCACCTTCCTCCTCCACCTAAGGGCACCCCCCATTCAACGCCAACGGCCAGCCAAGGAAGGGGGAACTGGCTCTATTTACCTCCAGCTCCAGCTGCAGCCCCTCCAGCCTCAACGGAAGCGGAAACTGTGGTCTTCCTTCCCAAGATCCTTCCCTTCGTACGTACAACATGGCGGCTCCCGAATCTCTATTCCTCTTTACTGTTTATACGTTGACGTCGTCCACTATCTCGAGAAAAAGGCACAGAGTTCTGTAATGTTGCCTAGTCCAGCCACCGCCAGAATACGGAAACCAATGAGAAAAGGTTGAAATGTGAGTCAGTCGGGATTGGCCACTATGGGAAGCGCCATACTGAGCTATGCAGGAAGGCGCGTGATTCACGTTCCGTAACGAGAGGCTGGGAGAGCTTGCCGCACCTTTATGTCCGTTTTCGCAAGGTGGCGCTGCCCAGTTGAAAGAAAGAGGCGGAGATGCAACCGGGACTGACTCTTTTCACTCTCTTCCGAAGGGAAATTCGGCTATCCTGAGCAAGTTGCCATGTGATTCTTGTTAGCAAATCGGAGATCTCTATGCGTTTATAGACACCTTTATTGCTATGGGAAGGTGGAGGTGGTTTTAGTTTTCTTCTTGGATCCTTTTGCAATGTAGTTTGCAATGTAGTTACTGGGAGAAAGTGTGTGAGGGGGGTAAGGTAAAGGGTATATCCCAATCAAACTAATTATTAACCTTATACCGAACTGAATCTATGTCTGTGGACGGTGTATGCATACTTTTGAACACATTTAGAGTCCAGTGGCACCTGTAAGACCAACAAAGGTTTATTCGAGGTATGAGCTTTCGTGTGCAAGGCACACTTTTTCAAATACGTTGAAATGGAAAAAGTGTGCCTTGCACACGAAAGCTCATACCTTGAATAAGCCTTTGTTGGTCTTAAAGGTGCCACTGGACTCTAAATTTGTTCTGCTGCTTCAGACCACCAACACGGCTGACTACCTGGATGTATCTGCAGACTTTTGAGTTATACAGAACTCTTCGTTGGGCAACACGGAAAAGGCAGGGTTGCTGAGACCTCCAGGTGGGGCCTGGGGAGATGCTCCGGAATTACAACTGATCTTCTGACTACAGAGGTCAGTCCCCCTAGAGAAGATGGCTGCATTGGAGAGTGGACTTATGCCATTGTACCCCACTGAGGTCCCTCCCCAAACCCCACCCTCTCCAGAACTGGCAACCTTAAGAAAAGGAACAATTATTGGAATAGAATGGGCCTGCTACTCAGTCAGTGTTTGACAGAACAGCCACTGTAAGGAACTACAGGAATGATAAAATGGAGGGGTGGAGAATGATGTAAGTTGTTTTGAGTCTCCAGTCAGGGAGAAAGGTGGGGTACAAATGAAGTCAAAAACATGATTACTGGAGTGGGACTGTACACACTAAGTGGACCAAGTGTAACCTTACACAGAATTCTTCATCAGCCACAGTTACATAGTCACAGGTGTGATTTTCCGAGATGTGACTGGCAAGCCAGTTCTTTGACGAGATGGTGATATTACTGAAGGTGGCATAGAAGTGGACAAGGGGCTGAGCCATTCATCCCAGAAACAACAACAGATTTTGTTTCTGCGCTGGAATAAATAAGGGCCCAACAGAGCTCCTGTTTAGGCAAGAAGAGGACTATTTATTAGCTGGAAATATTTTCACTCTGCTTTCCCATGGTGTGTGCTCATGATGTCCCACAGTGTAACAGTTTAATTATAACATAATAATAAAAGTAAACCAATAAAAAAACAGGCAAAACAAACTCAAATGGCATCAAAGACCATAATAGCAAAGTTACAAAAAGTCCAAACCTGCTTTTCTGGGATGCACATGGGGTTCATATTAGAATCGCCTACTTGGATCTATCTTGTGTTTGCAACGGCAACCAGCAAAATGTATTTGAGAAACCCAGGAACAGGGTGTGCAGGTGAAAGCATTCCCTTGTCTGTTCTGGGCATCTGCCATGCAGAGGTAATCCGCTTTGGAATGCGGAAGTCCCATTTATGACAGCCGTTAATAGACCTTGTGGTAAAACAACCCTCTGGCCCTTGTTTTTACCATGGAGAATGAGGGATGTACTTAGCTGACGCAGGCTTTAAAAGGGGAGTGGACAACTCCACGGAGGACTGGGCTATCAATGGCTACTAATCAATGTTCCCTCTAAGCTGCGGAGTCTTGTGAGCAAAAATTCTACTTCGTGAGCTACCAGCTTTACAGTTGTGAGCGAGCAGTTTGGCTGCTGCACAAATTAGTTTGCTCTGGAGCTATCCTTCCTGAGCAAAGACAAAAATGTGTGAGCCAGAGGCTAAAATATGGTGAGCTAGCTCACACTAACTCAGCTTAGAGGGAACACTGCTACTAATGTATATCTAGTCCCTCCAGTACCAGAGGTAGTATGCTTTTTTAAATCAGTTGCTGGGGAGCACAAACAGGATGATGCTGTTACAGACTTCCTGCTTGTGGGCTTCTGAAAGGTAGCTGGTTCGCCACTGTGTGAACATAATGCTGGACTTGATGGACCTTTGGCCTGATGCAGCATGGCTGTTCTTATGTACAGCCTATGTGCCTGCGTCCGTCTTCTTCAGAGTCCCCACAATGCCTCTAGTATGTTTGTCCATCTTTAAAAATGTCTGCTTCCCCTTCTCATTAAATTCACCAGGGAGGGGAAAGAAGAAACTGCAGGCCTTTGGTTGCTTTAAGGCTGTGTACAAAGCCCACTGGTCCTGCCTGTTGTCGTCATTGTTGTACTAATGGCTTCTTTGCCCAAGATGGACTGTTTGAAATTCAGAAGGAGTTGGGAAAGGGGAGGGAAAAGGACTAGCTCTTTCTTTTGATGAGACTACCTGTAAAGACAGTTTGAGCTTAACCTCTGAGCATTCACATAATGCAAACCCACATTCAGAGAGCAAAGTGGAAAATTCTTACGCAGATACTTGGTTGGGAAGGTGTATCATCCTCGACCTATCCTCAGATAATCTGCGAAATGCACTTCTGAGCTAATGGCCATCACATCTTGTGAGTTCCATAAGTAAGTTGTATGTTTTGTAAAGAAATATTTCCTTTTATCAGTCCTGAGCCTACTGTAGTCAGTTTCTTTGAGTTACTATAATTTCAATTATTATGTGAACAGAAGAGTTAAGAGTATTCAACCAGAGCTCAGATAGGTTGAAAAGCTGTTCTGGCAAGGACTTAAGTAATGAAGGTTTTTTTAAAATCGATTCCTGGCCTGTAAAAACTTCCTTCTAAATTTTGGCCTGCCCAACCAGCAGTTAAAAGCACAGCAAGTGGCAAAAAGTAAAAATTTAAGAAACCAAAGGAAGAAGAAACCAAAGAAACTTCAGGAGCAGTATTCTGCCCAGGAGACAGAGGTACGGACATCTGGAGCCTCAGGAGATTCTTTCACAGAGGAGAGAAGCCTCAAAAGTGCATGAAATGTTAGAAAGTGGTTAAGAACAGCTGAAATTTTACCAGGCATCACAGAAACCACATCAGAGAGAAACTTTTCAAGTGTCTGGATTGCAGGAAAGGCTTTAATCGCAGCTCAGACCTTACAACTTAAATTTGTTTCCCCTTCTTCTAAAATTTTGATTGGGGTTATCCTGGATCTTAGGAGTGGTTTAGCACATTATTGATGGGGCGCATTTGGCATGCTGCAATTGGATTCTAAGCATCTCAGAGTGGGGAGAAAGGCTATTGACAACTGACAACTGAATGGAAGTATTGTGTTCTAAGTGCTTTTTTAAATGGCACAATAGCAGTCTTGGCCACAACACTGTTAAAACGAAAGTAGTTTCACTGAAATGTATTAAATCCATATTACAGTCCATTCAAGATTTTCTGTATTAAAGAACACTGATCCCCATATAGTAAAAATACAATATTTTCTTTATCAAAAATAATAAATAAATCTTTCAATCGATCTATCTACTCCTTTTTCCTTGTGACATAGCTATTTTTCCAGGAATGAGTAAAAACTAAATGAGCTGCAGTATTTATTGTTTATTTATTTATCGTGTGACAGAGTTATACACAAGAAGTCTATCATAATATAAAATATGTAATCAACTTGTTAACAATAGGTATGCAGACCAATTGGGCAATCCCCCTAAAAACAAATATCTAAATTTTCAGTCCACTCAATCGCAGCTGGGGAGAGTTCAATGACCTCTATCACATCTCCCTGGAGAACATGATGCTCATATTCCTGTGACAGATGGAAAATAGTTTGGTGGGCTGCACCACAATCACATTCGGGTCCTGGTATTTTGCTCCATTTAAACAACAAGTCCGTAAAACTGCCAAAGCCTGTTTGTATTCTATTAGCCGTCTTCCATACTTTGCGTGGCATGTCAAATCCTGCGGGCCTCTCGTTAGGGATATTGGGTGGAACTGATTGCATCCATGTTCATAACCATTCATTCCCTAGATTGAAATTTTGTGATTGCAAGATTTGTGCTGCAGTAATTGCATTTAACACCGAAGAAAGCTTTTAGGAATCTCTGCCTCAGATTTTAATACATATGTTGATGATCAACACCAAATAATAATGCTTCTGTTACCATTTTCCAAAACTGAACAGCTCTTGAGCAGTTCCACCACATATGGGGAAAGGGTGCATTATCTGCATGGCAATGACAACATTTCCCATTTAATGTTCCACGTTTTTTAAAACCTGCTAGTGAATAAATGCCATTGCTTGGCCATCTTTTTGCATATGCTGAGGCTGATAGAAAAGATGGAGCCTTTTTAAAAACATAACTGACAGGTTAATTTCACCTACATCTTTTGACCATTTCCCCATATATTTTAAAGATATTTGCTACTTAATTATATCGAAAAATAAATACTGGGGAACAGTTTCTTGCCCCCAACTATCAATAATTCCTTGAAGCAACTTATTTTTCTTATTCTCCCTTTCCTTATTTGACCATCAAAAAGACCACAAACATTTTTTAAAAATGAGGAAACAGGTACAACTATGTAGATTCCATTATATTTCTGCTAAACTATGTAATTTAGTGCTTGGCACACAAATCAAAGTCATGGGCATCTTAGCTCTAACCCTTACAAAATCTAAATACAAGTGATACA